AGCAATCATTTTAGGGCCATCAATCACTGATAACACTAAACTGATGAGCGGTAACAGCTTTTAAAGCGTCGCCTAGGGCCAATTTTGGGTATTATCGTTTTTTGAGGTTTCGCGCGCGCACGCAATTTTAAGGCTTGACATGTTTAGTGTCTTTTTACCCGACGTGACCCCATCTTTTATATTTTACCAAAAAATTGGGTAATAATAAATGTTTTATCATTTAATATAGGGGAAACTGTTTTTTTTTTTTAAATTTCGGTGATTTTTCCTTAATATAGTAAAAAAAATAAAAACCCCAGTGGTGAATAAATACCACCAAAAGAAAGCTCTATCTGTCCCCAAAAAAGGGTATAAAATTCATTTCAGTACAGCGCTGCATGACGGAATAAATGTCAGTCAAAGTACCGCAGCGCTGAATACTGAAAAATGGCCTGGATGGGAAGGGGGTTTAACACCGCGGATGTCAACTGGTTAAAAAAAAACATATTTATATTTCACTTACAATACATCTGTCATTTCACAAGATCTCAGGGAAAGGCATTTTCCTCACCTGAGATGAGTTCCAGGAAGTAAATGGAGATTAATTAATCTGCTCTTAGTAAAAAAAATGGCCACTGTGAGAAGAATGGGGAGGAAAATAAAAATAAGTGTGTGTTTGTAGATTGTCATTACTAAATATTTCTAAAGGTTGTTATTTTGAAGATATGGGTAAAGTTCCTCTTTAGATCTTAAACATGCATTCAAGTACCTTAACTATTAACACAATAGTTTGTGTATCACCCAGCTGTAGATCCACAAATCATCTAACTATTAACAATGCTGTACCTTATTTGTGCATCACTCGGTTGTAGATCCTCAATTCAGCTCTGAATTCATGCTGATCCTGTCCTTCCTTCTGGAGGGTAGCTACTTAATTCCCCCATGGTCCCTGTGTGTGTTGTAAAGTAGCCACCACTCGAAACTAGCTATAAGTGATGGACTACAATCTCATGATTAGTTTACTAATTTGTATTGAGATTGTAGTCTATGATGGGAGTGAGCTTGGAGCGGTGGCTACTTTACAACATACACAGGGACCATGGGGAACAAAAGTAGCCACCCTCCAGAAAGGACAGGATCAGCATGAATTCAGAGCTTAATTGAGGATCTACAACCGAGTGATGCACAAATAAGGTACAGCATTGTTAATAGTTAAGGTACTTGAATGCATTTTTAAGATTCAACTCCTGAGTTTAGTGTGTGTGTGTGTGTATCATACACACACACACACACACACACACACACACACACACACACTCTGAGTGGCCAGATTATGACCACCCCATCAGATTCTTCTTGGCATTGACTCCACGAGATGTTGAAAGGTGATGCGAGGAATCCGACACCATGCCTGATGAATAGCACTGTCCAGTTCTGTGAGATTTGATGGTTGTGGAACCAGCTGCCTGATGGCTCTTTCAAACTTCGTCCCACAAATGCTCAATTGGATTGAGATCTGGTGATTGTGGGGGCCACCTAAGCAAGGTAAAGTCTCCCTCATGTTTTTGAAACCACTGTTGCACAATACGAGCACCGTGGCATGGCGCATTGTTTTGTTGGAAGAAGCCATCTTCTTTGTGGTAAACGCCATCAACATGATAGGATGAACTTGATCAGCAACGATACTTTGGTATGTTGTGCTATTCAGACGTTGTTCTACATGAATTAAAGGGCCCAAATCATGCCAGGAAAACATGCCCCAACCAGCTTGAAGGGTTGTACTCATGCACGTGGGGTGCATGCTTTCATGCTGTTTCCGCCAGCTCTAAAAGACCAGAGACTGGAAACAGCACACTAATCCTGCAGATTTAAAGTGGTGCACAACGCACCAATAAATGATCTCTTAATTCTGGAGTAATAGCAGAAGACTTCTCAAACATAAGCTCATCAGTTAACAAGCAGTCCTGGCACCGTTGGTGGATTGAAAGCTCAGGTCACCTGTTGAAGCAGCACTGTCCCCTCTGTATCTGGATTCTGAAATGTTGCAATTGCATAGTGGTAAGGCAGCTCAGGCTGAGGGAACAAGGCAAGGCCTCAAGTACTCATGAAACCCAGAGAGCTGGTAGCAGATGAGTGTTGAACCAAGGTCACTGTAGGCAGGCTGCAAGAGCAGAACAAACTGATGATCGGAGTTCCATATGGCTTTCTTGCAAGCAAACATGCAGAACCAGGTGAGCAAGTCACATTCCAGACACTCTTCGCCCTTACTGCAGGCATACTCCCAAGGGAGTCATCTGGGATCAGGATCACGACATGGCCTTGGACCTGTATCATGCTCTGCGGCTAACAAACCAGTACACTACTACACTGTCTGGGGAGGGCCACAAGCAGAGCCCAGCCCCTGAATTCCAGGATAGTGGGGCAGCAAAGTGGCATAGTAGATAGCACTTTTGCCTTGCAGCATTGGGGGTCGCTGATTTGTATCCCGATCACTATCTGCAAGGAGTTTGCATGTTCTCCCTGTGCTTGCGTAGGTTTCCTCCGGGTACTCCAGTTTCCTCCCACACTCCAAAGACATGCTGGTAGGTTAGTCAACTCCTGTCTAAATTGGCCCTCATATGTATTCATGTGAGATAGGGACCTTAGATTTTAAGCTCCTTGAGGGCAGGGACTAATGTGAATGTGCACTGTAAAGCGCATGTAAAGCGCTGCTTAAATAGTCGGCGCCATATAAATACCTGTAATAAATAAATAAATCAATAATAGTCCCGCAATCCTCAATCCGGTGTGGTCCAAGATACAATTTGGTAAGTGGTGCAGTAGATAAGCCAGCCGAGAAAGCTGCATAATGAGTCCCAGCTCAGTAGCTTAATGAAGAATCTTTGATGAAGAAAAAGTCTAAATAAAAGTAAAAATATAGAAAAAAAAATGGGTGTACTTTTCCTTGAAGAGAAAAAACATCCATCCTCCTAGGATGCTAGCAAAAAACTAAAGCGTGTTGGAAGTGGGAAAGGTTATGGAATGTCCAATTCCTCCGAAAAGCATCAGTATAACCCACTTGTCTTTTCTGACTTGCATCTGATCCTGTGTCCCTTACTGAATGATAAAGGGAGGGGTTATCCTGGACCATTCTACTTTTTTTTTTGTCTTCCTTGTCCAATCTTCCTGTTGGCAGCAGAATAATCCAAAAGGTGAAAAACTCCCTCTGTGTCCCTCAAGAAAAACCTTGCTCTGCACTTTTGCCATGGCACACGGACTCATCGGCTCTAGCAAACACATATATCCAATCTTGATATATTGTTTTATCTTCCAAAGTATCTAGCCAGGGATGGAACTACCGCCGGTGCGGCTGCACCAGGGCCTGAGTCTGGGGGGGGCCCAGTAGACCCAGGCACCAGTGACAGGATAGGGCAAGAGACGATGGAAGGGCCGGCCGCCGACCATCCGTCTGTCAGCCCACTGACTGGCAGAAAGCCAGAGTGAGGCAGAGCAGTATGAGGCACATGTTGAGGCAGTGCTGGGACCTCGGCCAGTAGAACCCATCGAGCAGCTTCCTGTTTACAAAGCCTGCCGCCTCTCCCAGCTACATGATGTTCCTGCCACGAGGAGGAGGAGGTGAGGTGACTGCTTTCATCTTCTGTGACATGTTTATAGCCCTCTATTCTGCATTTCTGTATAAAGTAAGACTGGGAGTTGTAGTCCTCTATAGCCATTGCCATTCTGCATTTCTGTATAAAGTATTGCCGGGATTTGTAGCCCCCTATAGTCGAAGCCATTTTGCATTGCAGTAAAGTATTGCTGGGAGCAGCGGTCTACATTCTTTTTGGCACTAGTGACCGGTTTCGCAGAAGAAATTTTTCCACGGACCGGGAAAAGGTTGTGGGGGGAAGTGAGCGGAGGCAGTGGGGGATAGTTTCGGGATATTTCAAGAGCATTTTTTGTGCACTTCTTTGTTTCTAATATTATTACATTGTAATATATAATGAAATAATTTCGGAATCAGTGGGAGCCCTGAGCTTGTTTTCCTGCTCCCAGGTGGCCAGTGCAGGCTCTCAGGTAGCCAGTGGGGGCTTTCAGGTGGTCAGTGGGGCTCTCAAGTGGCTAGCCCGGGCTCACGGGTGGCCAGTGGGGCTCTCCAGTGGGCAGTGCAGGCATTGTAAGAGTAGGAGGGGCCCAAAAAAAATCTTGCACCAGGGCCCATTGTTCCTTAGGTCCACCACTGTATCTGGCCATATAAATTACATTTAAATGCTTGTTTGGCATTCCACTGCAAAAGCCCTATTATAATTGAGACTTTGCTAAAGAAAAGAAAGTTGCAAAGCACTTATTAGGCATTGTTTAGGTCAACTATATTTTCTAATAGTGACATTGCTTTCCAAAGAAAAAATATACACAATTATGAGAGATAAATAAATTGTCATGAAGATCACTGTATAGAATTTTGCTTGAATAATAAACTTGTACATTGCAAGTAAAAACTGCTACCTTCAACTACGCAGATATGACATGTATGTACCAGCACTCATACATATGGTCTATGAGTATTGTGTCCAGGAGCACTTCTTTAGCATATATTCTACACAGCCTCAACACAAACATATTTCTAAAAACGAAACTAATTTAAAAAAACAGAACAGACAACATACCTGTAATTGTGCTTGAAAAGAACGACGTGCCAATAGATTCTGGATAACATTTGTGCGATCCAAGCAGTCCATGCAGTTGCTTCTGAATACTCCATCTTGCTGCAATAACACCTTTCCTTCAGAGTCCACTAAAAAGTAGCTTGTTCAAGAAAAATAGAAAAATAGATATACAAATACATTAATGAACTGTTATAATTTTTATACTATTTGCATTTGTAGAAGAGAATTATTGTCCACAGAGGGAAAGAAAACAGATAATGGGTCAAACAGCCACCCTCACTAGCTTCAATAATTTAAAAATGTAAATACATATGCCTATATATTTAGGATAAACATGCATTTTATTTCTTTTGCAAGGTTAGCTTGTAAATGTTGACTTACCCAAAGTCATCTTGTATTTCAGCTACTTGATCTACCAAAATCTGCAAGCGGTCCCAACGCATTTTGCTGCATTCTTTGTGGAAATCAAATGCAAAATATCTAAGAAATGATACAAAACAAATATATTGTAAAGAAATAAACACATTAATAATGATTTAAGAGACCCTGTCACCAACAAAGTAAAATGGGAAAAAGCAAGTATTTTAAATATTTACTTGCAGTGTCTTTTTCGATAAATGATTTAGTATTCATTTGCAGTGAGCGAGTCATAGAGCTCTCCTCTCCTTTGAGCAGGGATGACCAAACTCCGGCCCCCCAGCTGTGGTGGAACTACAAATCCCATGAAGCATCTCTCTGGGAGTCATGTCTGTGGCTGTGAGAATCTTGCAAAGCCTCATGGGATTCGTAGTTCCACCACTGCTGGAGGGCAGCAGTTTGGCAATCCCTGCCTTAGAGTGTCTAGTTACTCTCTGTGCTGAGGCAGCATATCTACCCCTGCCCTGACTCAAATGTTTATGTAGCTGCCAAGGGGAATACTAGAGAGTGTCACTTGAGTGATAGCTTTGCGTTTACTCGGGCTGTTGACATCACAATCAAGTTTGTGGCACCCATCAGCAGTCTCAGGGTTTTTGGATGTCTACACAAGGGAGGCTTTTACAGGTAAATAACATTATATGCACATATAATTTTAAGGGAATGTTTCAAATTGAAATAAATGGTCTCAAAATGTATATACCGTATGGACATGCCCCATTCCCCAGCTGCCCACCACAAGGAGGATCCTTAAACCAGACACATTTGTACTATGATCTCTTTCAAAGCAGGGTGAACAGATGAGAAAAAAAGTTCTTTAGAATGGCTATAACAACCCTTTTACTATTTTTTTTAAGCGAAAAAGAGTTTAAGGGCCCAGCTCCAGGTTGCTGTTAAACCCACTGCATGCATTAAATGCTTGTTTGGCTAGGAGGAAAAAACAAAACAAATTTACCTAACCATTCCATTTCCAAGGCCTGTCACCATTTGTGCAAATGTTTGTTCCAGTGGTTTTTCTGACCCTTTCTGGTTAACCTAGAAAAGTAGATCGAAACAAAATCAACTACATTGCATGTTTTCCTGTTATAAATAATGGGGGTTTGTTGGTGGAAAAGAGGTGAATATGTTGAATATTGTAAACAATCAAATCCCAGCTCATAAAATAATAACACTTTCTAAGCATAACTCCTACTTTCCCTTTCCTTGAGTTGCCTCAATGAATGTCATAATAAAATAGAAAACCATGTTCAAACTGTAAAATGAAGATCCAAATATTGACAAAGGAATATAGAGGTGAAACTCGAATAATTAGAATATCGTGCAAAGTTCATTTATTTCACTAATGCAACTTAAAAGGTGAAACTAATATATGAGATAGACTCATTACATGCAAAGCAAGATAATTCAAGCCGTGATTTGTCATAATTGTGATGATTATGGCTTACAGCTCATGAAAACCCCAAGAACCCCAAATCCACAACCTCAAAAAAGTAGATTATTACATGCAATCAATAAAACAAGGATTGTACATAGAACAATATCGGACCTCTGAAAAGTACAAGCATGCATATGTACTCAGTACTTGGTTTGGGCCCCTTTTGTAGCACTTACTGCAATTACTTTTGCACGATATTCTAATTATTCGAGTTTCACCTGTATATATATTCTTACTCGTACATAGACACACAGGCAGGACAAATACACACACCCACACTTCAATAACAGCACATAGCCAGAGAACAGACATGCAGCATCTGCGAACAGTCAGAGCACAATTTTGCTGCAACAGCACTGTCCCTGACAATTAACAGTTTCTCTCAACCCTTCTCACTGTCACTTTTACTGGAAAGCTTTGTCTGTACATAAATGTAATGAAAAATATAAAAAGAGCACTTTCCGGGGTGCATACGCGAGGCTCTGTAGGATGGCCGTCTAAGCCCAGAGCTCCGTACCTTGGTGGGATCATTTCGCTCACCCCAGCAGCTTCAGCAACTCCACAGCAGTGCCAGTTTGTGACTCACCCTGCCCTCATGACCGGTGCACCTGAAATGACAGGCGGCCGCTCCAAGAAATCTAAAAAAACGATCTCAGACAAGATCGCGGCCTTCCAAAGAGGCATCAGAGAGGCCACAAGAGGCCACAAGATGACATATCTCGGACAGCAGCTTCAGAGGAAGGAGGTAACACAGATCTCACTCCCCCGCCAACGGATCCTGTGAGTATGGACTCCCCGACCCACAGATCCCCTGCATCCACATCTTTATTGCTGGAACACACACTAGCAGGCATGCTGCATTCCCCACCATCTCCCTTTAGCCCTGACATGCAAGGTGGCGATATATAGGATTCTACTGAGTCCGGATATTCCCTCTAAGTGGCTTGGCCACTATGGCAAAGAAAATCACTACTGAAATTAGTGAAGACATCAGGGATTTGGTAGTTCGTATTGAATCTTTAGAAAATAAGCTGGTTGCTACCATTGCCCGCACAAATCAGAATAATTCTTGCATTCAAGACATGCAGAGGCATTTGGAGGAAGTGTTATCGAAATTTGACGATCTGGAAAACAGATCTCAGTGTTATACTTTTCAAATCCCTGAATCTGTGAAAGATCTTGATTCTGCAGTGAAATCATTCTTTAAAGAATTGCTACCTGACATTACTGACCATCAGATGGAAATGGACAGAGTTCATCGTGCTTTGACAACTGTGTTTTGAAGGCCCTTCTAGGAGATATTCTTGTCAAGCCGCACTTTTATCGCATTAAAGAACTGATCATGCAAAAAGCTAGCTACGGCTGAATTATCTCTTCTGGGTCATCGGATACAGATTGTCGCAGATATTTTACCTGCTACTATTCAGAAAAGAAGATCTCTAAAAATTACTTGCTCTTACCCAACAAGGAGTTAAATACAAATGGGCCTTCCTTTTCGCCTGCTTTTTTAATTCAAATACCAATCCTATTCTGTCACCAATTTATCTGATGGCGAGGTCTTATTGCACAAACTGGGAATCGTCTCCAGGGATCCTTTGTCCTCTCCTCCACCTACTAAAAGACCTGTCAACCATCAACTGTCACCTCTATAAAGGAAGCAGAGTGGGAGGAGACTGTCTTCACAGCACTCTCCAGGATGAATGTTAAACTGCAGAACTGTGTTTGTCATCACGTTTGATTCTCTAAGTTCTCTGCCAATTGACCACTTTTGAGATTCATGAAAAAATGTTCCTGAATTTTTCACCTTTTTCACACTGGACTTTATGATATATACTGTTGGGATTTATAGTTATTATAGTTGCGATTTAAGTAATGTCTCGTATAATACAGGGGTGGGCCTGACCGTTGAAGGCGGTTGTGTGCCTCTGTTTGCCCTAGCTCTTGGGTTTGCCCATGAAAAAAACTGTATAGCATTCTACAAGATAGACAACTCCAGTGCGAGTGAGTCAGTATGGGAACAATGGTTACGATATTTGGGTATTTTTTATGCTGTTTGAATATTACTGTATATATACACCGAGTGTCCAGATTATTATGACCACCCCATCAGTACTTCGTTGGGCCACCTTTTGCCTTCAATACTGCGGCGATTCTTCTTGGCATTGACTCCACGAGATGTTGAAAGGTGATGCAAGGAATCTGGCACCATGCCTGATTAATAGCACTGTCCAGTTCTGTGAGATTTGATGTTTGTGGAACCAGCTGCCTGATGGCTCTTTCAACTTCGTCCCACAAATGCTCAATTGGATTGAGATCTGGTGATGGTGGGGGCCACCTAAGCAAGGTAAAGTCTCCTTCATGTTCTTGAAGCCATCTCCAATTAAAAGACGCCATCAACATGATAGGATGAACTTGATCAGCAACATCACTTTGGTATGTTGTGCTATTCAGACGTTGTTTCACACGAATGAAAGGGCCCAAATCATGCCAGGAAAACATGCCCCAAACCATAACACTGCCCCCACCAGCTTGAAGGGTTGTACTCATGCATGTGGGGTGCATGCTTTCATGCTGTTTCCGCCAAATTCTCACTCTGCCATCTGCATGATGCAACTGGAAACGTGATTCATCGGACCACATGACTTTTTTCCAATGCTCGACTGTCCAATCCTTGTGTTCCTGTGCGATTTGGAGACGTTTTATCTTGTTAACTGCAGACAGCAAAGGTGTTTGAACAGGCCTTCGGCTTCCATATCCCATACGATGCAGTGTAGGGCGAACAGTGCGTTCAGAGATCATTTGACAGGATCCCTGATTAAGATCTGCAGTAATTTGATGCACTGTTGCCCTTCTGTTGTCTTGTACCAGTCTTGCCACTCTCCGTTCTGCCCTAACATTGACTAGTCGCTGACGGCCACAATTCGCACGTTCAGACCCAGATTTTCGGCTGACAGTCCAGTCTTTAAACACTTTAACAACAGCTGCTCTTGAACATTTAACAATTTCTGCTGTTTTGCTGATACTCGCTCCATGGCTCCGAGCGCCAACAATCACCCCACGTTCAAAGGCTGTTAAATCGCGTTGTTTACCCATATCTTCAGAAAAAAATCACTTCTACTGTCGTGATAAACAACCTTTTTTCGACTAAATATACAGCGCTAATAGTGACTAAACATCAGTGTATATACTCAAATTCTTGTGAAATATGTGAATAACAAATCCTAAAACTAAAACAGGTGTAATTAACTCAATATAATTGATCACATAATAATTCAAACCGACACTAAGTTGCGGTACCATAAATTAATTTATTGATTTAAACAAGAGAATGCGGTATTTATGATTATAAGTCACCATAAACATTCAAGAAATCACATATTGAGTTAATTACACCCGTTTTAGTTTTAGGATTTGTTATTCACATATTTCAAAAGAATGTGAGTATATACACTGATGGCTTAGTCACTATTAGCGCTGTATATTTAGTCAAAAATAGTTGTGGACCTAGTTGTCTATAGTACAGCAGCTTTTAATTAACCCCAGAAACACTTTATATAGATTGCCCATAAAGAACGGATATAAAATTAACACACTGTGGTAAACAACAACCTGCTTCCCTATTTATAACGGTCTGTAGGCGAAATTATAGCTAATTTGCCTCCAAACGTCAGGTCATAATAATCTGGCCACTCGGTGTATATAACATTTGCTGCTTTGAGAGGAGGTAGGCGCCCGGAGCCTATAGTTCCTTTTCTCTCTGACATTTCTCCTGCAATCCCTTCTTTTTCTTTTCCTTCCTCAATTTATCCCCCATGGATATAACGGAATGTTTGTCATGTTATGTTTGGATGAGATTGCCCTCCTATGTTCCGCCTATCCTGATCATCGCTTTATACAGCCTAACACAAACTTGATGGGATACTGTTGGGCTTATGGAAGACTTTTATATTAGTTACTATGGTACTGTGTTGAAACATCATTCATGCTTCCCAATATTCTTAATGTACCCTGTTTTTTTATTTCATTGTTTTTATTATTTTTCTTTTCTACTCTATTCTGATTTTGTTTTTTATGTATAATTGAAAATTCTTCTTCTTCAATAAATACCTTGAAAGAAAAATATAAAAAGATTTAAAATAAAAATTTGTATACTTAAAAGGGAACTATGGGGTAACCTTTTTATCCCATAGCTCCCTTTAGGGTCACGGGAGGACATATACGAACGTCCTCCCATGACCCAAAGCTCAGTATATAGTAGGCTATTGACCGCTATATACTGAGAACGCCGCAGCCGGGACGTATCCCGACAATACTGTCAAGATCCACCCAGCTGACTGTTTGACAGTGGGCTCTAGCTATCTAGAGGCAAAGCCAGCTGTACCTGCCCACCTCCCCTGTCCGTTCCTCCATTTAGCGCTGGAGGATCAGAGAGGGAGAGCGGAAATCCTTGCGCGGAGCGGTGACTGACAGCCACCACTCTCCGCAGGGAGATGATTGGAAAGTGAGCAAGCGACGGTATGTGTTCGCTCACTTCCCGATCTATAGAGTCGATGTGTGACAGTTTTAATGTCACACAACAGAACTACGAGGATGAGTGTAAATCACTCACCTCATATTCTCCTTTAATATAATATTTACATGCATTAACCCTTTCACTGCCAGGCCCTGCACTCCAATTTTAACCTCTGGCCAGACCATATTTCCAATTTCTCACTAATATCGGGTGTCTGAGAGTCAAAGCAGAGCCGGCACACATGCCGGCATTCTGACAGCTTGTATAGTTCGAGAGATATCTCTCTAAAGCTATACTGGCTTTTTTTTTTTTTCACTTTCAGGAATAGATACATAATGTATCTATTCCTGAAAGAAGAATGTTTCAGTTTTCTGATGGTTGTTGTAACCATCAGAAAACTAGTGACAGCTGAATCCTGAACTGTTGCAGGATCAGTGTCACTAACTTATTATCGGCTGTTCTGAAGTTTGAAGCAGCCTGATAATAACCAAAAATGTATTAATTTCTCAAGCAGTAATAGTGAGATTAATTCACAATGACTGCTTGATATAATTAAATAAATAAAATAACATTTTGAAGTTTAAAAAAATTGTGTAGTAAAAAAAAAAATTGTGAAAAGTGTAAAAAAAATAAAAAAGAAGGGACAAATAAATGAATGTATTTATTGCATTTTTTTTAGCTGTGCTGGTTTTGTAAAAAAAATACTACAAATCAAAACTGGGAAAAAAAAGTGTTTTTTTTTAACGTTTTTTCCTCTTTTTTTATATTTGGAGCATATTCAGCTCTAAATGCTCCAAAATCCATTTTATTTTTCTCCAGCCACAACTTCCTGCCAGAGGGTGGCTACTTTTCTTCTCCATGGTCCTCATGTGTGCTGAAAAGTAGCCATCCTGTGTGCTCACTACCGAGGAGAACTACAACATACTGAGGGCTTGCCTTCTCACTCTCCGCCCACAAATCCTCCCCTCTAGACTCTGACTCTGCAAAAAGCTTTGATTTCTTCAGCAGCAGGCTATGTTTCTCTCCCGCACTAATATATGTTCCTCGATTTCTCTCCTCCTGGCTTACCAAGGAGGGAGTGTGGGGTGAGCTGCTTGTGTTCACTGTCTTTTTTCACACATTTTCTAGTGAGATTCAGCATGTGAGCTGTCTCCAGGCTCATACTTTCTTCTGAGTCTCAGCTCACATGCTGAATCTGGTCAGACAGTCACAGAGGATACAGGAAGTAGTTTTGGTAATTCAGAGTATTGCAGAGGAGATTACAAGCAATGAAACTGTCACAGCGTGTTTAATGAGGAGAGGGAGGAGCAGCCTGTGTGCAGTGAGAGATGATTCCTCTCTGCCCTTGGGAGTTACATAGTTACATAGTATTTGTGGTTGAATAAAGACATTAGTCCATCAAGTCCAACCTATTAGGATCTCATTCTAGGAGTACCTGTACCCCTGTATATTACCTGTACCCCTGTATATTACGGTCCCTTAAGAAATCGTCCAAAATTTCTTGAACAATTCCACATTATTTGCTGAAATCACCGCCTGTGGCAGTGAGTTCCAGATAGGCAAAGAAAGATGTGCACGGTTCTTACTAAGTGACAGGAAGTGTGAGGGGAGAGAAGAGCAACGGGAGCAAGCACTGCAGGCTTTCTAATGGGATTCAAATAGTAAGACTTTATTTTTTCAAACATAAATCAATGTGGCTTTGGAGAATGTTCATTGTGTAGATGTGTATAAAGAGAAAAAAGTTGAGGGTTTTGTATCACTTTAAACAATATTATTTTGGCTAACTGAAATGCTGAGCATTCAAGACAGCTAGAGTTCCTAGCTCACTTCTTCAAAAATATACAAGAGACCTGAGCTGACACAAAAGCTCACAACTGTAATTGACTTTACTTAATAAACAATTTAGCTCTATATTTTTAACTTTTACCAAACACTAAGATGGTATTTACTACCATTGTTTGATGGAATCAGTGGAGTATCAGACTTACAATAGACTAAACTTGACTGACCAGTTTTCTTAAATACCACTTTTAAAAGTAAAATAAGACCAATAAACCGACTCAACTTATAACAAGAAATAACCTATAAAGTCTAAACATTGCCTCTTTCTGTAAATTAAAAAACTTAGCAGAGGGCTAAGCTGCATGTACACAAAGTCAACAACAAAGGCAGGCACCATTTTTAAGATGTTGTCATCCCTTGGCTAGCAACTTAGTCCAGGAAATAAATGCTGGCCCCAGGTGATGCCAGAACAAAGATGGTGCCATCCTGGACAGAAAGGAAGATGTGGGCAGTCTCTAGGTTGAGTACTGATTTCTTTGACAGGTAATACCTAGCACTGTTCCCCTTGTACAGTAATGATGCACTTAAAATAAAAAAATAAATATGACACTAGGCTTTTTTTATCCTATATATTCATGTTATTAATCGAATAATCAGCAAATTTACTTAGAGCACACATGAATTAAGCACAATATTAAAAGGCATACCAAGTTAACGATAACTTGCTTTCCATAACTAATTATCTGCGAGTCAAAATGTCGCTGGAATCCATCCATCTGCAAATGAAAAAAAAAACAAAATCTGTGTTATTGTGTGATTGGAGGTCAGATCCACCCATCTGTCCAGCAACAAAACTTAATCCAAAACTTGTAATAATTCCACAAAGCAAAATGAAAGCAATTACCTCACTAAGAAAAATTACAGGTATAGCTAAAAACATAATTAAGCTGTGTAATTTAATTGTCTAAAGGTGCCCATACACTGCTCGATTCTCGTACGAGAATCGCGGGAAATCCCACGATCGTACGAGAATCGAGCAGTGTGAACGAAGACGTGCAACCGTTTTTACTGTACGGTCGCACGTCTTTTGTCGAACCAGCATGCTCGAAAACCCGCCGAGAATCGTACGATTGTCGGCGGGGTTCTAGCCTGCTCGTTCGACACGTGCGGAACT